GGCGCTTCCAAAAAGGCAGGGGGCGGCGGTGACTCGCCGTAATTAGGCGTCTTCGATGAAAGTTCGGCCTCCGAGGCCACGTGTTTGTATCAATACCCTGCTACACCTGGCGCCCAGAGTTTGGGGCCGCAGCAGGGACATGGATCGAACGTCGATCGGTGGACCCAAGGTTCGCGCCGTGAAAAAATCGAGACGGAAGATGTGTGACAATTCTCTGCATCTGAGGGCCCTCATGAGTCGGGGACGCCACAACCGAGTCGGAATGAAAAGCCTCCCCGCGGAAAGGATCGAGACCTCTCGGGGGCCACGCTTTGAAAAAATACGGAGACAGAAACCCTGAGATCTGGCGTTGCGAAAAACATTCAACATCGCAGGAAATCACGACTGGAGCCTTGAACCTCATCCTTCTGCCCAATCTGTGAGGGTCCCAGATCCCGAAACCAAGCGAAAACGCCCAGCGTGAGAAATTTGCAACGCCAGATCTCACGTGATCTGGGCCACGCCCAGCTTGGGGCCAGGATCGGTGAATGAGCCCCCAGTTGGCTCGAGGCCAGGCATGTGCACCGATCCTTTGCGACAGGGCCAACCCGGTACGGGGTCGGTGCAGGTGGACACTTGAGACGCCCCACAGCTCCTCGGAGTCCGGGTCGCCCAGCTTCTGCTTCACCCTTCACCCAAGAGTCCTCCTCCTCCTCCTCCTCCTCCTCCTCCTCCTCCTCCCTCCTCCTCCCCCCTCCTCCTCCGCCTCCTCCTCCTCCTCCCCTCCTCCTCCTCCTCCTCCTCCTCCTCCTCCTCCTCCTCCTCCTCCTCCTCCTCCTCCTCCTCCTCCTCTCCTCCTCCTCCTCCTCCTCCTCCTCCTCCTCCTCTCCTCCTCCTCCTCTCTCCCTCCTCCTCCTCCTCCTCCTCTCCTCCTCCTCCTCCTCCTCCTCCTCCTCCTCCTCCTCCTCCTCCTCCTCCTCCTCCTCCTCCTCCTCCTCCTCCTCCTCATGGCCGGAGCCCTGGACCCCTTCATTCTGTGGCATCTATCGAACCAGACCGAGCCGTGAGGGTCCCGGGGCCCGAAACAAGAGGCATGGTCGCCCGGCGCGAAAAAGCTGCAATGCCAGGATCTCAGGGGCGGCAGGTCTCGTAACCCTAGATGGGGAAACCAAAAACATAAACATTTGGCGCTCCGCGCGGACTTATTGGATCTGCGCTGGGCCCACGCCACGGCGCCTCCGGCGCCGCCGCGGGCGCACCGCACGCCAGGGAGGGGGGTCCAGCGCAGATCCAAGAAATCCGCGCAGAGCGCCAAAAGATCATGCTTCTGACGTTTTTTCTTCGATTTCCCGATCCATCCCTTTTCGTACGACCCGAAAAAAGCCCAACCTCCGGGTCGGTCCCCTGGACCCTCCGGGACACGGCCCAGCAAGGCCAGCTGCCCGAGCCGCGCCCAGCACCGGCCCAGAGTCGCCGTGGGGCCCGTCGGCTTCCAGAAGGGGGACGTGCGAAACCCGTGGGGGAGTTCCAGGCTGGTTGGGGGCCTCGATCGATCCCCAACCGATCTTCTCGTTCCCAGGAGGAGGAGGAGGAGGAGGAGGAGGAGGAGGAGGAGGAGGAGGAGGAGGAGGAGGAGGAGAGAGAAGGGTCGTGGCGCTGGGCGTCTGACCCGTGGCCGTGACCAGGAGGGCCCGCCGTGGCCCCAAATGCCGCCGCTGCGACCCCGTTTCCGGCGCTTCTCGCGCGGCAGCACGGCGGCCGCCGCCCGCCAGGCCGAAACTTTGGCCCGCCTGGGGGCCCTCGGGTTGATACAGAACCGCTTCCCCGGGAACCGTCTCTCCGGAACACCGCTTCCCCGGAGGGCCGTTTCCTCGGAGACCTCTTCCCCGGAGACCTCTTCCCCGGAGGACCGTTCCCAAAACCGTTTCCCCGGTACCGTTTCCCCGGATTCGCTTCCCTGGAACCGTTTCCCCAGAATCGCTCAGTTTCCCCAGACCCTCTTCCCTGGAACCGTTTACTATGTGCACCCTCCTCCCCGGAATTGTCCGCAGAGACCGCGTCCCCCGTACCACTTCTCGAGGGAGGATGAGGAAGGCATGAGGGGGGATGAGAGATGAGGGAAGGAGAAATGAGCGAGGGAGAGAGGAAGAAACGGATGAGGGATGAGGGAGGCGGGAGGGAGGGACGAAGGAGGAGAGAGGGAGGCATGGATGAGGGAGGGATGAGGGAGGGAGGGCGGAAGGACGAGGGATGAAAAGAAGTAATGGGCACGAGGGATGAGGGAAGACAGAGAAAGGAGGAGGAGGAGGAGAAGGAGGAGGAGGAGGCGTCAGCTGAAACGGCCCAAAAGAACCACCCTGTACGTGCGACAAGCCGTGCAAGTGCTACTGAGCACATGGAATGTCTCGGGGAAACGGGCCAAACCAAGTCGGATCACCTCAAGTGCAGACATCTCTGAGCCCAGAGTTGGAGGGATGAGGGAGGGAGGGAGGGATGAGGGCTGAGGAGAAGCAGCACAAATGAGTGATGAGAGCGGAAAAGAGGGATGAGGGACCGGTCGGGCGGGCGGACCCTACCGAGGGGCTCGGGTCGGTCGGGCAAGACCCTAACGGGCGGGTCGGATCGGGCGGCCGGGACATAGACAAATTGCTCATCATTGAGCTGGCACGCAAGTACCCTAATGGGCGGGTCGGGTCGAGCGGGCGGGACATTAAAGTATGTTGCATCATCGAGGTGGGACGCGAGTATCCTAACAACGGTTCGGGTCCAGCGGGGGGGGGCCCTGACGGGCGGGACGGGTCGGGTCGGGCGGGCGGACCCTAACGGGCGGGTCGGGTCGGGTCGGGCGGATGCATCATCGAGTTGGCACGCAAATACCCTAACTGGCGGGACCGGTCGGGCGGACCCTAATGAGCGGAGTTGGCACGCGAGTACCCGAACGGGTGGAACGGGTCCGAAGGGGGGTGGACCCTGACGGGCGGAAAGGGTCGGTCGGGCGGGCGGACCCTAACGGGCGGGTCGGGTCGGGTCGGGCGGGCGGGATATTCAAGTAAGATGCATCATCGAGTTGGCACGCGAGTACCCGAACGGGCGGGAAAGGCCAGGCAGGCGGGCGGACCCTAACGGGCAGGACGGGTCGAGTCGGGCGGGCGGACCATAATGGGCGGGTCGGGTCGGGTCACGCGGGCGGGACATTAAAATATAATCCATCATCAAGTTGGCGCGCGAGTACCCTAACGGGCGGGACGGGTCGGGTGGACCCTAATGGGCGGGACGGGTCGGGTCGGGCGGGCGGAACCTGACGGGCGGGTCGGGTCGGGTCGGCTCGGGTGGGACATTAAAAAATGATCCATCATCGAGTTGGCGCGCGAGTACCCTAACGGGCGGGTCGTGTTGAGCGGGCAAGCTGGTGCTGGAGCACCCAGCTCGAGTGACTGGCCAGGAGAACTGGAAGTACCCAGTGCCTGAAGCGTCTGGAGCGCCAGTCGACTGGTCTGGTCCTGGGGAACCGCTCCTGCGGAACCTGGCCTGTAGAAGCGGTCCTGCGAAACCGGACCTGTGGAACCAGTTCTGTGGAACCCGTCCTGCGGAACGAGTCCTGTGGAACCGGCTCCGCGGAACCGGCTCTTGGGAACCGGTCCTGTTGAACCAGTCTTCGTTGAAACGGGCTTTGTTGAACCAGTCGTCTGTTGAATCAGTCCCTGTTGAACTGGTCGTCTGTTGGACCGGTCCCTGTTGAACCCGTCGTCTGGTGAACCGGTCTTCTGCCATCGGATTCGGTTCGGCCGCGAGCCTGGGGGGGGAAGAGGGAAAGGGTGGGCCTTCTCAGAAGGCTCGGATGTCCCCTGGCCTGCTGAGGAGTTTTCTGAGCCTTCCCCAGAGACACTGAAAAGTCTGAGAAGTCGCGCCGCCATCTGAGAAGACCTTCTCCTTCTCACTTCCCAACCCTCGCTCGCCGCCGATGGGTAGTGATGGTTCGAGCAGTGAGGTCAGCCCGGACGTGCGCGCCGCCAGCCTGAGCTTGATGAAGGCCGACAGGCTGCTAATGATACCGCCGAGCTGGCTCTTTCGCAGCACGTCCAGGGCCTCCCAGCCCCCCCCCCCCTTCCCTGGCGGTGCCTCTGGAGGTCCTCCCCCTCGTCGTTGGCGTCGCCGTCGTCTTCGCCGCCCTCGTCGTCGTCCTCGTCGCCGTCGCCCTCGCTGTCGGCGTCGTCGTCGTGGCCGTCCTCGTCCTCGTCCCTGGCGTCGGCGTCGACGTCGGCGTCGCTAGAGCCTCGTAGGCTGGCAGCCGCCGTAGCAGGTTCATCGCACCGTCGTCCAGCGGCAGCGCGCTCATCTCGGCCTCCAGCTTCTCCGACATGTCCATGTCGGGGAAGCCCGTGGCAGCCATCGACCGCTCCGTGGCAGATCGCTTCTCCTGCCCATGGGATGCGGGAGGACACACACCCGTGCTGTGAGTCCTCCTCGGAGGCGTGCGCCCGGCAGGATCAAACAGCACAGCAGCCCAGCAGTATGGCCAGGAAGCGCCCGCGACCGAGCAGGTACCGAAGATGTCTCGGAGCGCGCGCGTCGCCCGCACACAGAGCATTAGCATGTCTGGGTGACGCCGATACTCAGACCTCCAACGCATCAACAGGAGGAGGAGGAGGAGGAGGAGGAGGGGGAGGAGGAGGAGGAGGAGGAGGAGGACGGCCTCCTCACGCCTCACCCCGCCCTCGTCGCGGGCCGCCGCCGCAGACGGAGTCCGACGACCTGGGTGCACAAGCAACAAGCAACTTACTGGCCGCTTCACGCCGCTGGGAGCCCTCACCGGGCCCTGGATCACAAAAAAATGATCTGCTTGGGATGAGAAAAGCTGGCCCTGGGACAGGGTCGGAACACTGAGGGGCCCGGATGGAAAAAACAAGTGGAATCCGCCGTAAAAGGGGGCTGGATAAAGCGGAATCGGACCGCCAGGCCGACGCATCCGCCAGTCATCCGATTCGAAAACCGAGGCTCTCGAACGCTCCTTTCGACAATGCGCAGCTGGATTTCCCTCGACAGTGGCGGCCAGGACACTCAGGACGGGGCTCGGGGGGGCTGCCTGCTGTTGGCCCTCCAGGTCCTCGGCCCTCGAAGCTCGGGCCTGGGCCCAGGACGGGCCCAGCAGGCTTTTTTTTTTCGCGCGACGCCCGAGGATGCAGCATCCGACGCTGGCCCATAGTTCCCAACTGGCAGAGAGGGGACCCCACCACGTTGGAACGGGCCGCAGAGACGGAAGAGGAGAACGAATCTGACGAGGAGGAGGAAGAGGACGATGTGGGTTTCGCAACTTGGCCTCTAGTCGGTGGAACTTGTGCGTGGTCACTCGGGGGCTGGCTTTTCATCCCGAGCTGCTTCTGGCGGCCCCAGGGGCAGGGAGGCGCCCCCCAGGAGCCGAAAACGTCGAAAATGAAAGATCATTTCTCGTTACCGACGCCCAGATATGAGAGACTTCCTGGTCAGGAGAACGAATTTGACGAGGATGAGGAAGAGGAGGATGTGGGTCTAGCAACTTGAACTATAGTCGGTGGAACTTGTACGGGGTCCCTCGGGAGCTGGCTCGTTGTCCCGAGCTGTTTTCTGGCGGCCCCAGTGCAGGGAGGCCGCCCCCAAGAGAGCCGAAAACGTCGAGAATTAACAACCATGTTTTTCGTTAGCGACGCCCAGATCTGAGAGACTTCCCGGTCAGGGCCAGTGTAAAAAAAATCCGCCGACCCCTCTGGGGACATGGGCAAGCGAAACACCCTTGCAACGTTCGCGAACATTGACGAGGTCCGCTGGGGCCGCCATTCCGCACTGAGGGAACTCGATTCACGCTCATGTGGAAAATGTCCATAGGCCACGCCCCGAAACTTACCACCGGCTCAGTCGCGCTGCGCGCGCAGGCGGACCTGGACAAAAGTACGATTCACGCCCTCGCATCCGCCGAGTCCCCGAGGGAAACTCGCAGCCCGCCTCAAGACCTCAAAATGCTGCAACGGAGCAACCCTTCCCCCACGTTTCAGCACGAGGTCGACACGCCACGGCACCTCACAGGCCCGCCTCCAAACCTCCATGCGCGGCCACGGCGCAAGGCTCCCCCTTCGGCTGAGGTTTTGAATCGTTTTCGGCCCCTGGGGGCCCTCGCCGTGCCCTGGGGACGTCCAAAAGCGACTCAGGATGAAAACCCGGTCCTGGAGAAACGGACCAAGACTTCCTTGCAGCTTGGCTCAAAAGCCGTCCTCAAGCCCACAAGGGGCACTCAGTCGGGCGCGGGGCGCTTCCCTAGAGAAACCAAACACACAGCCCCACCCGCGGAACCTCGCGAGGCTTCGAAAGACTTCGAAACACGCGCGCGGCGCGCACCCAGTGCCACTTTGACGTTCCAGGTCTGACCTCCAGCGGCCCCACGCGCTTCATCTCAGTTTCTCAATTTTTCCCATCCTCCAACCCCTTCTGGGGTCGCAGGCGCGCGAAATACTGTTCCAGCGCTCGCTACCCTGAGGGGGTCCACCTGGGCCGCCATCCACACTGAGGGAGGTCGACTCACGCTAGCGTGGGAAATGTCCACGGCGGCCCCCGATCGACCTCGCTTGGGCCCTCGTACCGAACAAAAAAAACGCCCCAAGTCAGGTGGCGCCGTGTTTGCACGCGGGCCGGAATGAAAACGCGACACGCATCCTCACACCCGCCTCTTCGAGGCGCGTCTTGCGAAACAGTGAATTTCAAGTCATAGTGGCCAAGCCCAGACACTGCCTCGATACCAGGAAATACACTCACGGCTCGGTTCCCCTCACTTTCCAACTTGAGGCCACCCCCCAAGGAACCTCGCTGCCAGCCGCAAAACGTCAAAAGCTGCCACGGGCCAAGGTTTCTTCCACGGCCTGCGACCGACGGTTTAGCGCTGTAAAGACCAAGCCTAGACATTGCCCCGTTACCTCATAGTACACTCACGGCGCAAGGTTCACTTTACTCTCCACTTCGGGGCCATTCCAAAAACTTCGCAACCTGCCGCAAGACCTTGAAAACCAGTTTGTCAAAGAGATCCACATCCCTGCAAGGTGCGAAACATCACGTGCACCCGCCTCGCCCCCCCTGGCTAAACCGGCGACGAAGGTTGAAACAGTTGATTGCGCACCTCCCTTTGGTCTAGGACTGAACATGCCCAATCTGGATGCACCTCTGGTCCTGTCCGTCTCCAGCGCTTCGGCGTGATATCCCCATCGAAACCTGCCACAGCCAACCACACGGAGCAGGCCGACGCTGTCACGAACGACACCTCTGTTCCCGACTGCGTGAAACATCAATATGTGCAACACCTCACTTGCCAGGACAAGTCACTTTGGCGTTCAAGGAAAGGAAGAAACAACTGCCCCCTCTTTCGTGACATCGCGGCCTCCTGGCTGATGCATTGGTAGACATCCGCCGGGTGTCCGTCTTTCCTTGAACGGATACCAACCACGGCCCCTGCGTTAGGCACCCGTGGGACGTCTCGCTCGCGCCACCTGCAGGTTCCAAAGCTCGTACCAGAGCTGCCGGGGCCAAGCTTCCGGACTCGCACACGGACACGGCAACATAGTCAGAACGCACCTGCGAAGCCCCTTCTTTGGCAAAGCTACCATTGCTCATTTCCTGACTGCTGGACCGACCATCGGAGAAGATAAGTCGCAAAACGACAACGACAACGACACGATAACTCAACGATCACTCGAGAGATCCGCCGGAGTCCAGCTCAGGCGTGCGGAGCACTCGCGCCATGCCGAAGTTGAACTCGGGAGAGACTTCCAGCCGAAAACCAGCAACTTGCCAAACATATCCACATCATTGCAAGATACAAAACATTGTATGAACACGTTTCACCCCCCTCGGCTAAACCGGCGACGAAGGTTGAAACAGTTGATTGCGCACTTCCCTTTGGTCTAGGACTGAGCATGCCCACTGTGAGTCCAGCGTTTCGGCGTGTGGCTGGCTATCGTCATCAGGACCTGCCACAACCAACCACACGGGGCAGGCCAACGCTGTCACGAACGACACCTCTGTTCCCGACTGCGTGAAACATCAATATGTGCAACACCCAAATCGCCAGAAGAAGTCAATTTGGCCTTGAAGGAAGGGAGGTAACAACCCAAAAGGCTGCCATGGCCCCAAGCTTCCTTCACTGTCCAGCTTGAGGAGATCCCCCAAAGCCGCTGTGACGCGTCTCCTGCGAAAAGGGCTTTGTAGTAGGAAGACAGAACCCGAACACTGCTTCAAGACCTCGAAATACACGAACGGTTCATTTTCCAATTGGAGACCTGGTCGGGTTCAGTGTCGGACTCCGCGCCGGGTTCGGCGTTTCGGGTTCCGCGTCGGATTCGGCGTTGGGTTCGGCGTCGGGTCCGGTCGCGTTCGGCTTCGGGTTCGGCGTCGGTCTCGGTTTCGTCGCAGGCTCACATTTCGAAGACGTTGTCTGCCGTGACGATCCTCGACCTGCGATATTGAAGCAACAGGCCCACGTCCACGAGGGGAAATAGGTCCGGCTAAGAAATCGCAGCCGAACCAGGTAGCCTTTAGTAGTGGAAACAATTGGTTTTAAAAATGTTTGGTCTTTAGAAGCTCTGCGTGGCGACGCCCCCGTCGCCACGCGTGCCCTCTGCGTGCCTGCGGGGGCGCCGCCACGTAGAAGTACGGGGCGTCGCTACGCACGCCCTCTGCGTGGCTGCGACCATTTGTTAAAACCCTAAAACCAATTAAATTCACTAACAAAGTAGCCCAACCAGTTTCGAACCAACACAAATCCAAGCTGCGGTCGTCTCGAAATGTATCTCCTCCCTCTGGAATCACAAGAGCCAGCGGCCGCAATAGCCTCCGCGGGCGCGTTGGCGCGCAGCTCCGCTTCCAAGGCAGCCACAACTGGCGCAGACAGTCGAAAGTGTCCTTCTCGCTGGACGTTTGCCGGACAAGCGGGCCAAAGGCGTGCAAAAATCTCCAACGGCGAGTACTTCTAAATCGCGCGCGCGTGCCTGCCCCAGGGGGTCCCTGGACGGGAGAAAAAACATGCAAATCCAGGTCGGTCCCCAGGCGGTCCCCGTCACGGATGCCAGAACTCCTGGGGGTTGCGTTCAGGGCCTTCAAGAGCGTCTCAAAATGCCCCCAAGGCGGTCTAAGAGGGCCCAGAATCACCGAAGTCGCTCCAAGCTGCCCAAAATAGCCTGCAGACGACTTCAACCGCCTCCAAGACGCCCGATGCATCCAATACTACTCCGAAGGAGCCCCCTACAGGCAAAATTCAACCATGCTCCTTTTCCAAGGATTTCAGCGTTCTCACCTTTTCGGCCACCGACGCTCTGAAACGGCCCAAGAAACCCGCAAGATCGCGCCAAGAAGACCCATCAAGCCTCCAAAAGAGCCGCTAAACCGCCCCAGAGGCCCTCAAGG